AAGGAAGCTGTCAAATGGGAGGAACAACTTGGATGAGGTAAAGGAGAAAAGACAGAAGGAAGGAAGGGAAAAGGAAATATATACATATACACACAGAATAACTTCAGTAATTGTACTGTTGATCTCTGCTGGTCTATTGAAAGGAGCAATTAGTGCTTAATTATTTTCTTCTTTTTAATTTATTTTGACTAGTTCTGAACGCTTCTGTCTGGTAATCTGGACAACTAATTTGAGGACAAAAATATGTAATATAACAACCATTGTTGAATTCCTATCATTTTGTTCAATGAAATTCTGTATTGTTTCCAATGTCTTACTGTTCTACTATTTTTATTCTCTTTTTCAAAAATTAGTAATTCCAGGGTTTGAGTTAGGTTTTTAGATGGTACGTACAGTTTGTTGCTAATAATTAGCCAACTATCAGCCAAGTGTGGTTGTACACATTGTAGTCCAGCATTCCTGGGTGCTGAGGACAGAGAGCATCAAGTCTGAGCCTAGAGTGGGGAAGACTGATGGCTATCACAAGACCTTAACTCAAAAGATTTTACAAGGGCTGGCTGGCAGTGCTACTCAGAGAAATGGTCTTGGATTTCAACCTCAGCCTAGCAGATAGATGATGGATAGAGAGAGTGATGGTGAGATGAATGAATCCATGGTTGGATGGATGGATGGATGGATGGATGGATGGATGGATGGATGGATAGATAGATAGATAGATAGATAGATAGATAGATAGATAGATGATAGATAGATAGATAGATAGATAGATAGACAACAGACAGACAGACAGACAGACAGACAGACAGACAGACAGACAGAATCTGAAAATAACATGAATTGACTGGGCTAAAACTTTGTCTCAATTGAAAAACTGTACAGGTAAAACTTGGAATCAAGACCTTAGCTTCATTATCTAATTACCATACATTTGCAGTGAATTAATTTAAAAAAAGACACTTTTTACACATTTAAAGCATCATCAACTTGCAAGGCTTTTTCTCTCCTGAGCTATGTCACAGCTCATTTTTCTCTTAGTGGCTGGAAGTGTTTTACCTCACTGGCTTTTTAAATTTAAATCCAAACCTAGATAAGTAACCCATAAAGTCTGCCAAACAGATCTGTAGCAATTACGTGGAGCTTGCCAATTTTCCTCTTGCAACAAAATGTATATATCCCACGAAGAACTGACCAAAAAAT